TTAAATTCTTCCCTGTTCTCAAGGTTTCTTTGGGTTGGACATTCAAAGAGATAATATCTGTAAAGCCTTAGCACATCCTTGGCATATCATAGGTACTTCTTGTTCCCTTCCTTTTACATTCAACTTTGAATGACTGAGTCAATAAATGAAGAAAGGTTTGTCCAGCTCTTGCCCCAAGAGCTGAATGCTGTGCTCAGAGCTGGGGATCTAAATACATAGACCCCGAGGGACCATCGAGGAGCTGGCATTCCAGGAAGAGGAGATTGGCAGCCTAGGAGGGGCATTTGGTCCTAAAGGCTACTGGGACGGAGGTGCCATTTTTCTCATTTTACAGATAAAGAAATTGAGGCAGACAGGGGTGAAGGGACTTGCCCAGGGTCACAGAGCTGGTAATGCCTGAGATAGGGTTTGAACTCGGGTCTTCCTGACTCCAAGTCCCCCATTCCCGAATAAGACACAGCACACAGCCTTTGGGTTTCTCAGCCATAGAGTTCTAATTTCTGTAACTTAAAATAATCCACTTTGGATTCTTGGGGTGTGTGTGAGCTCCTCCTCTAGGTTAGATCACATGCTTTGACACCTCCTTGGTTTTGTTTCCATGGGGCTCAGCACAGCAGTTGTTGAGTTGTTTTGTTTTCCAAGATGGTGGAGCCTGGTTTTACTCTATTCCTAGATCTACCAGTCAAGGATTCATGGATTCCTCCCACCAGAGAGCCCCTCCCACCTAGAGCTCACCATCTTTGCCACCTTTACCAATCCCTTCCTTTCTTTCTCTTTTCTTTTCTTTCTCCTCTCTCCACATAGGGTACCACACCCTTACCTGCCACTGCCCTGCCTGATGGGGATGTAAATCCTAATCTCTGAGCCTTTTTTTTGTTTGTTTGCTTTGGTTTTTTCTCTTAAAGACCAACCTTAACCCCAAATCACTCTGGTCCCAGACCAAGCCCTACTTGGTCACTGTTTGGGCTTTGATCGGCTCAGCATGAATGTAAATAACAATGTTTTATGTTTTGGTCAGAAGCCCTGAGGCTCTTCCCCTCCCAGATCTATTTTTTTTTTAAATGAGGCCATTCTTTGCTCATTTTTTAAAAGCCTTAGTCACTGAATGAGTGTTGCCTCAGTCAAACTGAGACCTGTTAAAGACCTTAGCTTCAAAGGGCCAAGGTCTCCCACTACATCCTGGGCCATCTCCAGTCATCCTGATCTATGTCTGCCCACTGGACCCAGATGGCTGTGGAAGAGAGAGTGAGGCTGGTGACTGTGCCTAGCCCTGCCTCACTTCAATCCAGTTCACTGGCGTGTCACAGCATCACCTCCCTGACATCATGGTCCTCTTGGAGAAGGAGGGACAAACAACAACCACCTTTACTACCTTTGCCACTTTTGCCATCCTTTTGATCAGGGTGAGATGGTGACCCTTTTGCTTTTTGTTTTTTTTTTCAAGACTCTGGTTGAAAGTTTGCATCTCTGCTTTTGAAAGCAGTTGATTTCCTTTGACTGTTTTTCTGCCGGGATGCCCCACATGCATATACACACCAGCCTCAGCTGTACCTTCCCGATGCAGGGTCACCTTTCGTCTCTTAGCGGCCTATATGATCGTGGTCCACAGGGATTTTCGGCGTTCTGTCTCCCAGAACCTGCCATGGATCACCTGGACGTGCCATCCATGTCTCATTACAAAACTACCCCTGACTAAACTAATCTACCCCCCCGACCCCCAAGCCTGTCCCTGCTCCAGCTTCCTGTTTCCTGTTATAGCAACACCATCTTCAGGTATCCAGGTCCAAACCTGGGAGTCATCGTTGACTCTTCCCTTCCTGATCAGTGATCAGCTATGGAGGATTCTACTCCCCTCCCTTTCTTGTATTCCTTCCTTTCTCTCCACTCACAGAGCCCCCCTCTGATAGCTGGAGCCCTCCATATCTCTCAGTCTCTCAATTGAGCCTTCTGTCTATGGTGCCTCCCATCATGAATCCAGCCTTCACTCAGTTGCTTTTCCCATCTTTGTTCTTAACCTAACCCTAAATTCAGACCATTTCTGCCCCCTCTGGGAGCACATCTGGACTTGGATATCAGAGTTCAAGGGTGGAGACCCTACTGCCTTTGGTGGCAAAATAGTATAGTATGAAAATCTGTACATTTTCCTTTTGGTTTCATTCTTAAATTCTCTCATGATAACTTTGCTAATTGGATCTCTCCATAGGATCTCTTGGAATTCATTTTGCCCCATGTTCCTGCTTTATGAGGTGATGGTGTTCATAAGTTTTCATCATGGTGTGTCTGGTACATAGTCAGTGCTAAAGAAAGGCCCGCCTACTCTCTTTATCGCTCTGTCTATCCATCCATCTGTCATCTGTCTGTCTTTCTATGCCCATTTACCTATGTTTATATCTGTCTCCCTCTCTATCATCCATCCTTCCATCCGTCTCTGTCTTATCTGTTCAGCCATTCATTGACCCATTCATATTATTATTCATGCACTCACCTCTCTTTCTGGTCATCCATCTCTCTCTGTGTCCAGCTGTCATCATCCATCTATCCATCTCTCTGTCTGTTCAGCCATTCATTCATCCATTCATATCATTATTCATGCCCCCACCTCTATTTCTAGTCATCCATCTCTCTCTGTGTCTAGCTGTCATCTCCTTCTATCCCTCTGGCTCAATCATCTCTCTATTATCCATCCATCCATCTCTCTCTGTCTGTTCAGCCATTCATTCGTCCATTCATATTATTATTCATGCCTCTACCTCTATTTCTAGTCATCCATCTCTCTCTGTGTCTAGCTGTGTCTGGCTCAATCATCTCTCTCTATCATCCATCCATCTATCCATCTGTCTGTCTGTTCAGCCATTCATTCGTCCATTCATATCATTATTCATGCCCCCACCTCTATTTCTAGTCATCCATCTCTCTCTGTGTCTAGCTGTGTCTGGCTCAATCATCTCTCTCTATCATCCATCCATCTATCCATCTCTCTGTCTGTTCAGCCATTCATTCGTCCATTCATATCATTATGCGTGCCCCCACCTCTATTTCTAGTCATCCATCTCTCTCTGTGTCTAGCTGTCATCTCCTTCCATCCATCTGGCTCGATCATCTCTCCCTGTGCTCTCTCATTCTTTGTACAAGTTAATGAATGAGGTGACCAAGTCTCTTCTGGGTTCTCAGGTTCTTCCTCTCTCCTGCCCCAAACCATAAGGGTCTCCAGAACCCTTGTAGTTAGTTCAGCTTGTGCTCCAGCTTTCTTCCCTTTGGCCAAAACGCAGTCAGTGTGTCGTATTGGAGGGAGCTGCCCTTGCAACCAAAAAGACCTGGTTCTGTCACGTAATGACTAAATGACCCTGAGCAAGTCACTTTGCCTCAGTCTGCCTCAGTTTCCTCAACTGTAAAACGGGGGTCATAATAGTGCCGGCCTTCTGGGGTGGTTCTGAGGATCCAATGAGATAATATTTGTAAAGCACTTGGCACAGTGACTGGCACACGGTAGGCCCTTAATAAAAGCCTACCCGGCCTCCTTGCCTGCCTTCCTCCTCCCTCACAAAGGTAGTTACTTTATAGTAGGTGGGATACAGTGGACCCTCCCCCCACACACATTTGCAAAAGACTCCCCGTTGTGGCGTTCTGGATGCTCCAAACCAGCTTAGGACGGACTCTCTCCGTTAGCCGTTCCCCACAGCTCTGTGGGACAGATGGCCCTTTCTCCCCACTCCCCCAGAACTTAGTTTCTCCGATTTCTAGAGGACGTGCTGCTTTGTGCTGTGGGCCTGGGGTACTCGCTGCCCCTCTCCAGCCCCAGGCTGTGCCCCGTGAGGTCACACGAGGCTCTTCCAGTTCCCACTGCTGAGCACTGCAGATCTCAGTAATGGGTACGCACCTAGGAGAAGATACAGTGTCCATTGTTTATTAATATGTATTTTCCTCCAGATTATTTCTCTTTAAAAATACATATTTACTGATGTCCTTTTCTGTCGGTTTCCTACAGTGCTCAGTGTATCCCCTCCCATAATGCCGGCTCTTATAATAAAGGATTTTAAAAAGAGAGAAAGAAAAACCGTTTGAGCAAAGCTGACACCCACACTGAAGAGGTCGGACATTATGTACAGTGCAGCATCTCTCCTCGGACCTGGCCCTCGGCACCTCCCCGGTGGACTATTACAATAGCCCCGCGGTCTGTCGGCCTGCCTCGGTCTCTCCCCACGCCAGCCCATCCTCCATTCAGCCACTAAAGTGATTTTCCTAAAGCTTAGTTCTGATCATGTCAGCCCCCCACTCCATAAACTCCAGTGGCTTCCTGTGGCCTCCAGGAGCTCCGATGGCCTTCTAAGCCTTCGTAACCTGGCCCCCTGACCTTCCCAGTCTCCTTACGCTTCACTCCCCAACATGTTCGCTTCAGTCCAGGGACCCTGGGACCCCAGCCTCCCGGGTGGTCCATGACCAAGACCCTGCATCCAGGGCTCCGGGCTTTCTCTCTGGCCATCCTCCAGGACTGGATCGCTCTCCCTCTTCCGCTCTGACCACTGCCCTCCCTGGCATTCAAGTTCCAACAAAAGTCCCACCTTCTCCAGGAAGCCTTCCCCAACCCCTCTTAATTCCAGTGCCTTCCTTCTGTTAGGTATTTCCTTTTTATCCTGGATAAATATTGTTTACTTTGTCTATATTTCTTTGCATGTTCTCTCCCCCATTAGATTGTAAGCTCCTTGAGGGCAGGGGCTGTCTTTTGCCTCCCTTTGTATCCCCAGCGCATACATAGGGCCCGGTACGTAGTGGGTGCTTATAGATCTTAATGACAGATTCTCTGCCTGTGCTGTGTACCCCCTGTCCCTGCCTTCAGGTGAGCAGGGCCACGTTCCACGTGCTGGGGCCACTCCCTGGTCATTATCATTTCCTTGCATTCAGTTTCATTTGTTTTGTTTTCCATTTATACTTCTTTAGTCATTGTGTATATTGTTTTCCTGGTTATTTCTTAACCTTGCTCATAAGAGATTTTATTCCTACAGGACAGAAGAGAAACGGGACCTTTTCCTGTTTTTCAGAAGCCTTCACTTTTTCCTGGAGTGGTGTGAATACCGTCAGCGGACATTTCAGTACTTCAAGGTAAGGTCCAAAATGCACATGTTGGGTCAGCTGAAGAAAAGTACATTTCTTATTTGTTGTTGTCATGTTTGTTATTCTTGCGTCGTGGTAATGGTCCGCTACGTTCACGTGCTGCCGTTTCTTTAGCCAATCCCCAGTCATTGGGTAATGAGTCATTTACAGTTTTCCCAGGACTCTTTCTGTGGGCATTTCCTATCCGTAGCATCCATAGATATCAAAGGGTACGAGCTTTGCTTGTCAATCCACGGTATTCTGTTAGCGCTTTTTATGAAAACGGGATGTCCCCCCTCACAAGCGTTGTGCTCAGCGCAGTTGGGCGCTCCGTGCCGTAGCGGGCAGAGTTGTCCGTAACCTTCCCAGCTCTTGACTCTGGCTCACCTTTGGTGCCAGGTCACGGGGCTGCAGGCTGGCAAGTGGCTCAGATGCACCTTCTCTGATCAGCTCGCTCCGGTTCCATGTGGTGGTTGACAAATCACTGTTCTTTCTTCATATTCTGTGCCCTGTTTTCCACTGGAGAAGTTGGGCCTGTTGCTTCCAGGTTTCGAATGTCAGATTCTCAGAGGTATTTATGGATGTGTTGCTTTGGTGGTCCCACAACTCTTTCTGTATAGACAGTAGAATTCCCTCTATTTGTATTTCCTTCTACTTGTTGAGTAGTTACAGAGGACGAATTATCTTCTTTGCCAGAATTGCGATGAGCCCATCATACCATTTTAATTTTTACGTGGTTTGTTTTTAATTCTGACATAATTGACTAGTTCTGAACTTAGCACAACACGTGAACTAAGACTGCTGCTCCAGAACCGGTCCCCGGCGGCTGTGTCCTCTCGCTGGTCTCCCACTGCCCTTGTTGGAGAACTGGCCTCTTCCCCGGGGAAATGGGCTTCCCTGGGACCTTGGGCTGGTCCAGTGCATCTCTCTTCTGGGCTCGCTCCTTTTTATTTTTTGTTTTTCCCATTCCTGGATTGCGTGCCTGTCGTCTGCTCCAATCCTGTGTTTTTTCCTGTTGCTTATTGCTTTGGCAAGATGCATGAGTCCTTGCAAGGATTGTGTCAAGGGCAGACAAGTCTTCTGCTTTATTGGCTTGTTCTTCTGTTTTACACCAAGAGCATCTTGTTTTCATGAAAAACATGTGTTGTGTGTGTGTGTTTGTGTCTGTCTCGATCAGCTGTGGTTTCCACATTGACCTTTTATGTTCTTGTTCAGTTTTGCACGTATAAACTTGAGTGTGATTGAACTTCTACGAACAGAAGAAATTCTTTAGTATTTTCATTGTTGTTGAATGAAAGAAAATGAATTTTAGCAAGTGGTGTCATGGTCAGCGTATTAATTTGCCTATCCACAAGTGATGGATTTTCCTCCAATTATTTAGACCTTTGTTTCTGTCAGTGAAGTTTTGCGATTATCTATGACCTACTACATGGTTGCCTAAGTCACTTCCCAGATAGTTAATGTTTCTTGGTGTTACTAGAAGTAGGATTGCTTTCTGGTGGTTATTTTCAGAATACAACAATAAAAAGTATGTTTGTTAGCTTCGTCTTTTATTTCATTGCACTGCAGGATTTGTTTTCTCATTCTTTTTTGGTTTTGAGACCAGTGTTTTTGGGTCCTGACTATTATCCCCTAGAGTTGCTGTCTCTTCTAGCACTGTGCCATCTGCCCACTTGGTAAGCATGCCCACCGTGCCTGGCCATGATTTAAGTCAGTGATGTAGAGAGAATGAAGTGTGACAGAGGGACAGTCAAACTATTGTGTGGCTAGGCATCTGGCCTCGTGATGGAAAATGTTACCCATATCCAAAGAAAGAACCGTGGAGTTTGAATTCAGATCAAAGCATACTATTTGCTATTTTTTGTCTCTTCTGTTTTGTTTTGTTTCCTCTTTCTGGTGGTTCCTCCTATTGGTTCTAATTCTTACTTACAACATCACTAATGTGAAAATATGTTTAATAGGAAGGTATATGTATAGCCTATATCAGATTGTGCGCCATCTTGGGGAGGGAGGGGGAGAAAAATTTTAAACTCAAAAGCATGTGGAAGTGATTGTTGATAAATCAAAATAAATTAATTAAAAAATTGTAAAAAGATCTAGATGTGGATTCCCACCATATACGATCTCTGGGCTCCCGCCACGTTGAGTAGGTGCTCTGTGTACGGTCTCTGGGAAGACGTGGAAAAGAATCCCAGAGAACTAGACGGCACGTATGGCATGAGGTCTACACTGCTTGGTGGCTGAAACCACCCATGCGCCAAAGTCTATTTCTTTCCACGTATTCTGATTGGGGTCCAGGAGGCCTGGTTTCAAGGCCAGTCTCCGACTCTTGGTAGCTGTTTGGTCTTGAGTAGTCACTTTACTGCCCCTTGCTTCTTTCCTCCCCTCTAAAAAGGGAGTATTAACAATGGTACTTTCTTCCCAGGATTGTTGTGAGAATCACTTAGGATATTTCAGCCCTAGGAGGTGAGTGCTCACATCTGACAAATTGAGACTGGCTAAGACTTGCATTCTCCCTGATTCTTCTTCAATTAAATCAAAACCAGCAAAATTTTATTTTATTTTTATTTATGTTCTATATAATACTTTCATTAATAAACTGAATGTGTATTTTGAAATTTAGTGATTTCTTTTTAATGATGTTTTGGTGTGTTATGTAAAAATAGCTTGTTGATTTTTTTAATGAAGCGGTCAAGCTTTGAAAGATACAACCTCTAATTAAACCTGAAAACCTTATTGGCTTATGTGCATTTTATTACACAATTGATATTTTGCATGCAGTTCCTCAACTATTTATTTCATGCCTACTACAAACATGGCTAGTTCAGGACAGAGTCCTTGCTCTCAAGGGAACATTTACATAGAAAACAGATATTTTGCATATAAATTTGCATATAAAACAGATAACAATATAATAGTATGGGATTAATTAACAGGCACCTAGTACCATAGTTCAGCTAAAAAGGATTGGAGGAGTCAGAAATTGGCTTTTGTTTGTTTTTTCTTTAGGCAATTGGGGTTAAGTGACTTGCCCAGGGTCACACAGCTAGTAAGTGTCAAGTGTTTAGTTTGAGGCTGGATTTGAACTCAGGTCCTCCTGACTTCAGGGCTGGTGCTCTATCCACTGTGCCACCCAGCTGCCCCCACAAAGTGGCTTTAGAAGGATGAAGGTTGACTTTGGGTGGCTAGAGAACCAAGGGAAGGCCACGCCAAATTGGAACAACGGTGGTGTCCGCCCACTGAGAAGGGGAGTAGAGTGGGGTAGCTGGGGCAGAGAGTGACCGAGTGTCTGCTTCTGTCTCTGGGATCCCAAGGATCACTTGGAGATGCCACGGGCTCTGTTCTGGCGAGTCTCGCGTTCACTGTTTTGGGGGCTTCAAGTGGCCAGAGATACACAAGGAGCCCCCCCGGAGAAAGGCTGGTGGAAGTCGAGGAGGAGGAGGAGGAGGAGGTAGTGTGGTGGTTGTGCTTTGGGGTTTCCCTTCTGTGCGTGGAGTCCATCTGCGATGACTCAGGCCTCAGGCTCGGTGGTCAGAGTGCTTTGGTCTCCCTCCCTTCTGAGATCCCCTCTTCCCTCTGAGGCATGCCCTGTGGGGCTAGAAGGTAATAAATGGAAGCAAAGGTTTAGGCGGGAAGAGCTTTTCTGTGTCCTATGACAGCTGAGACACCAGTCTGAGGAGAGTGGCCTGCTTGTGTTGCTGAGGGTTAGGAAGATGAGGTAGTCAGTGGAGGGGCATCAGCTGTGCGTGGAAGTGGTTCCTGACGTGGAGTCAGGAGTCACTGGGCTCTGAACCTTCTTCTTGTGCGTGCTTCCTCACCTGACCATGGGGAGTTCCTTTACCCTCTGAGGCTCAGTTTCCTCATCAGGAAAATGACTCTAGAGTAACACCTGTGGCATCTAGCTATCTGGCATCCTTGTCAAGCCCCAGTGAGATAGCATCTGCATGGCGGGTCGGGGGCCGTAGGGTATATAAAGAGAAGCTTGAAGCCAGGCTAAGAATTCTGGACTTTGAACAGAGCTCGATATGGTTTTGTGTTTTCCCTAAACAGAAGGCTGAACGTTTTCAGAGGATTTAGAAGTCTTTTAAAACATGAAATTTTATTATAGTTCTGAGTCTTTAAAGATTGGCTGAGAAATGGGGATGAGGTTCGATTTTTTTCGCTGTGGTAATGACGGAGAGCCCGGACTTAGGGATCTATTTTAGCCAGAGTCCAGAGAGCAGACTAATGCAAAGGTCAGGGGGTGACACTGGCTCCAGGGAAAACTCTAACGGGTCATTCAGAATATGACCTGGAGCATCTAGGAAAGGCAGCGGCAGCTCCACAGTCATCAATGGTCTCATGAAGCCGGGGCTCCTTCCTTTCTTGACAGGATTGTTTGGCTCATAGCTCAGGGGAATGTGGCAAATATTGTTTTCTGGATTCCATCAACGAATCTCATCAAGAACTTGTTACTGTTCTTGTGGAAAAGATGGGGCGGTGTGGACTCACCGATGAGAGGATGACATAGACTTGGCTGTGGTTGGATGGGCAGATTCGAAGCGTAGCCACTCCCTGGGAGGAAGGCTCTGCCAGAGGGGGACCCTAGGCACCCATGCTTGTATGATGACGGGATAAAGGCAGAGGTGACACAAAGACAGGAGGAGGGCTGCTCCCCCGGAGGCCAGGCCGCTGAAAGATCTTGACAGGCTTGAGCAGGGTCTGATGGAGCGAATCCGCAGGGATGAAAAGGCTCCACAGAGTCCGAAAGGTCAGCTTCACGAGAACGAGATGGGGAAGGCTTGCTTGGATGGCAGCCGCTCTGCAGAAGACCTCGGCGCTCTAGAGCTCGGTCCATTCGCTGCAAGTCGGCGGCGTGATCTGAGAGCCAAGAAAGCCGGTGAAAGCCTGGGCTGCATTGAGAGGGGCAGAGCTTTCAGGAATAAGGAGAGCACAGTCCCTGTGCATCTCTGCGTCGGGCAGACCGTATGAACACAGCGTGTTCAGCTCTGGGCACCACAGTTTAAGAAAGATAGCGATGAGTTTAAAACTCTACAGAGGAGGGTGATCGGCCTCAGGAAGGGCACTGAGTCTATGTCATGTGGGGATTGCTTGAATGTACCGAAGATCTTTAGCCCTGAAAAGGGAATGCTCAGGAGAGTGGGAGCAGGGGAAGGGGGGAGGGGTCCATGACGGTGGTTTTCAGGTATTTGAAGGCCTTTGCTATTAAAGGGAGATTGGGTTACTTCTCTGGCCCTAGAAGGCACAACCAGGAGAGTTGGGGGGAGGTTTGAATGAGACAATTTTAGGCTTGAATTCAAGGAATTTTCTAAGAGTTGTCCAGAAGTAAAATGGGATCCCTTGGGAGGGGGCGGGCTCTTTCTCATTGGAGGTCTTCAAGCAAAGGCGAGCTTACCACTGGTTGGGTGGTTTATGGTGGGGATTTTTTTTTACAAGTTGGTCCAGAGGAATGTTGGGGGCTCTTTCAGCTCCAGAGTTTTGTCATTCTTCCCAGTAAACAATGTGGTTTTGTGGAGGTGTTGTGTTGATTTGCACTAGAAGCCATGGACCAATACAGGAATTCCCCAGTCAGATCCATGGTCCCTCCAAAGAGATTCTCCTATTCATCTTCATGGGGCAATTGAAGAAGATGATAAATGCTTATTGTCCGGGTGACTCTGTGCCAGTGGACTACCAGTGCCATGGATAAATGATGGAGACGGCTAACAAGCTGGTCCAGAATGAAAGAGGAAGAAGAGAGGGGCCCCAATCACGTTTGGGAAATGACAGGTAGCTTTCAATAGTCCTAAACTGACAACGCTGGTCTTTTCAATGCTACTGCTGTCTTGGGGATGCTGTCTGTCTACCAGCCATAGGTACTATGATCTCAGAAGAGTAATTGGGAGTGACCCACAGGTCAGTGGAAGTAAACACGGCAGGGATAGCTGGGCTGCAGCAAGTGACCAGTGGTGTGCTGTGGGCCCAGGGTGGCATCACGATGGGCTGGGCATGGTGCAGGAGCCTGTGGTCCTGAAATAATACAATGTCTGCAGTCTGTTATGTGGGCCATTGATGGAGGCTTTATTTAAGGACACGAAAAAGAATCTTACAGGGTGTGAAGACAGGAAGGAAGGGGAGGAGTTGTCATTTCTGTCTGTGGAAGGCATGTCCTGGATCTGCCAGAGTCCCGCATGCTTTAGCATGTGGGGGCTGACCCATTCCTTGGACCTACGTGTGAAACCTGGGCTCAGCTAGCTCATGTGTGTGTTCCCCTCAGTAGGAAGCATGCTACATCCTCTGGGGCCGTAGAAGGAGGCCTGGACCAGGAGCAGAGCTTGTTTCCCAGATCTAACTTGGCCTAAGTCATCTCACCCTCGTGAAAACCTTGGTGGCCCCACCTGTAAAATGGAGGTGATGATAATGATCATGTTAACTACCTCAGCACTGGAGGGAGCAGGCCTCCGAGGATGGAGATGCCTTCTTTGAACGCTGCCAAAGAAATCCTCTCAACTGCACCTCCCCAAACTAGAGCAAATTACTATGAATGTACATTTGATTGGGGCTTGACCAAAGGAGTGGAGAAGTCGACTCCAGTTGAAAAGTTTGTTATAAACACGTGTCTCATAGCAGACTCTAATGCATTTCATGGCATAAAACAGTAATAAATTCTGCCTCCTTGATGTCAGTCCAGCTTGCAGAAACTGTGAGTGCCTGAAAGTATTTCACTTTGAGCCGGGGTAAGGGCAAGGAGGCATCACTTTAGCATTGATGCTTTATGGCCTCAGGCAAGAGCAAGAAAGAAGGGCATCAGAGAGACAGTCCTGGGTGTGCATGCACACTTACATATTCATAGTGATGAGAAGAAGAAGGTGCCCCAAGTTTAGACATGGATACAAAGACACCATTACAGCGTGCCCGACATCTTGCCATGAACCAAGTGGGTTATGTGGTGATATTTATATTGACTAGTCTCAGTTATTCACATTATGTTACATTTTGAACTCAAAATGTAGATGTAAAGTTTTCTAAATATTGTAGTTTAAAACAACACCAAAAAAAAGTTTAAGTGCCTGAAAGCTGCCAAGGGGTATACAAAAATATAATTAAACTAGCCTATAGGATCCTTTAAATGAGGGGGAGGACAGTGGCTCTCTTTCCCCTTTGGGTGTATATTTAGCTAGATGAGCCTTGGTTAATAGTATGTTCCAGTGGGCAGTCTTTTTAAGCAGATAAAGCTGTTAGGATGCTTTCCCAGGAGTATCGGGTTGCCTTCCATCCTTATCTCGTCAACATGGCTCCGAATGTAACGTGTGTCATTGGATTTGCAGAATGTGTCGTCTGTGATGTCAGCTATGTTGTTAAACTGTAACACAGAAGAGAATCTGAAGTCAGTCACTTGTACTCACACCAAGAGTCTATCGGGACCTGTCTCCCCGCCAGCTGTTCTTAGGGATGAAAGGACAAATTTCTTTTCTAAATAGAACATGTTTGCACCTCAAGGGCAATGTAAGTGGCACAGTGGATAGAGCTCTGGGCCAGGGAAAACCCCAGGTGGGTCAAAAGAGTCAGATACGCCTGAAACAACTGAACAACAAACAGTAACACTGGGCAAAGCTTCCTCTACGAGGTGGGATTTTGGGGGGCAGCTAGGTGATGCAGTGGATAGAGCTCTGGGCCTTGAGTCAGGAGGACCTGAGTTCAAATCCAGCCTCAGGCACTTACTAGCTGCGTGACCCTGGGCAAGGCACTTAACCCTGTTTGCCTCAGTTTCTTCGTCTGTAAAATGAGCGAGAGACAGAAATGGCAAATCACTCCAGTGTCTTTGCCAAGAAAACCCCACGTGGGGTCACAGAGAGTCGGACACAACTTTAATGACCGGCCGTCAGCTGCATCCAAGGCCTTCGTAAATGCATTGTAGAGTACTAGATGGGTGGGATTTTAATGAGCAGCATCCAGAAAGGAGCATTCTAGGCATGACAGTGCCAGGGGTGGAGTGGGCTAAACAGGTCGTGCTGGGAATGTGCCAAGCAGTCCAGGGTGGCTGGAGTCCACGGTGTGCAAGACACGTGCCGAGTTTAGAGAAGTAGGTTGTACGTGCACTAGAGGACTTTCAGGAGGAGGTAAGAGAGTGGGGCTTCATTCAGTTGGCTTTTCAGAGTTCTTAAAGTGTGGCCTGTGGCTCATTGTGGTAAGACTAATCTCACAGGGGCATGGAGCCTGGATGGAAAGCTACTTTAGTAGTTCGGGCAAGAGGAAATGAGAGCCTTGACCAGGGTGGGGCCAAAATGATGGACGCTGGGAGAAAAGTCTCTGGGTATCGGTGGGTCTAATTGACAGCTGGTTAGATGTTTGGGGCAGAGCCAAAGAGTGGTTGGGAATGAAGTTTGGATTCTGGTCAGCCACGACAATGGTGCTACCACTCATGAAAGAGAGAAGTCAGCAAAGAGTCACTGCTGTGGAAGGAGGGAGGATGAGTTTGTCTGCGGAGAGATTGAGTGGAGGCCCTCGGAAAGCTCCCGCAAGGCTCGTGGATCCTGGAGGCTGGAGATTAGGGAGGGAAATGGGGTTTCATTATTCACGTGGAGCTGGAAACCATGGGACCCATCCCTGGGAAGGAGGTCTGTCTCTCCCCTCAGTGCCTTGGGCACCAGACTCTCTATTGAGCATAGTTAACGTTTCTGGTTATTATTGCTAATTATAACAGCAGCTTCCATTTGAGTAGTTCCTGTTATGCTGCATGCATTGTGCTAAGCACTTTACAAATATGATCTCATTTGATCTCCACAACAGCCCTGGGGTAGCCAGCTAATGGCTATTAGCTATGATTCCCATTTTACAGTTGAGGAAACTGGGGCAAATAATGGTTACGTCACTTGTCCGAGCTAGTTAAGTGACTCGTCACACAGCTCGTAGGTGTCTGAGGCTGGCTTTGACCTCAGCTCTCCCTGACTTTAGGCCCAGCACTCTAGCCACTGAGCCATCCAAGCTTCCATTTCCTGAGATTTCAAAGGATGAAAGAAAGAGTGAGGGATACAAGGGCCCTGTTCTGTTCGTTTTTTAAACCAGTTTATTGACCCTTTTACTGCCTTAAAGTAAAATTGTGTAGTTAAATCACTAGAAAGCTGATCTAACTCTGAGGTTCCCCTTCCTACCCATAGACTGGCAAAGATAACAAAAAAGAAAAAATGACAAATGTTGGGGAGTCTGTGGGAAAACAGGCCCTAGGACCCTGTTGGTGGAATTGTGAATTGGGCTAGCCACCTAGAAAGCACTGTGGAGCCATGCTGCCCAAATCACCAAAATGGGCTAGCCTTTGACCCAGCTGTAAAACTCTGCATAAGGAGGTATGTGCCAAGGAGATCAAAGAGAGAGGAGAAGGACCCATAGAGACAAAAGCATTTCCGCAATTCTTTTTTTTTTTTTTTTTTTAGAGCAGCCAGACGTTGGAAAGTAAGGGGCTGTCCCCGTGTCGGAGGGTGGCTAAACAGGGCCTGGTATAGGAAGATAACAAAGTAACATTGTGCTGTGGGAAATGGTGAAATGGACAGTTTCAAAGAAAACCAAAGAGACCCCTCTGCACTGATGCCGAGTAAAGGGGCAGAACGGACCCAGGAAATCAGTGTGGAAGGACTGGTGAACTCTGGTGAATGCAGTTATAAGCCCTGAATCTGTGAGAGGTAATGAGAGATGTGATAATGGAGAGAGAGAGAGACAGACAGAGAGGGAAGGAGAGAGGAAAGGGGGGGTGAGTGGAAGGAAGGAAGGAGAGACAGAGAGAGAGAGCCAGAGACAGGGAGGAAGAGAGGAAGGGGGGTAAATGGAAGGAAGGAGAGAGAGAGAGGAGGGGAAGAGACAGACAGAGACAGACAGAAACAGAGAGACAGAGAGGGAGGGAGAGAGGAAAGGGGGGAGGGTGAGTAGAAAGAAGGAGAGACAGAGAGAGGTGTTCAGTGAATCAGCCAGCAGCATTCGCTGCACCCTCGGCAGGGTCGGGCAGTGGGGGACTGCTGGGGAGTCACACTCAGAGAATGAATGATTCCCAGTAGCATAAACTTGAATTGGATCTAACTACAGGTTCAAGACCATTGTTGTACCTGAAGGTGAAGGATTCTCAGGCTCTCTGGCAAATGTGGTGGCACAGACTCCAGCTCGTTGTGGTCCAGGTAGAGGAAGGAGAGGTTATTCAGCTTCTGTAGGAAGGAATTAGAAGGGCCTTCTGAGTCACCTTTCCTTGGGTGGTTTGGTCGGGGCCTCCTTTGGGCAGGGGCAGCTTCGGGAGACAGGTGGGGCTCACCTGGGTGCCTTGTGCGCCTCTGCTGTGGGCTCCTTGCCATTGGCCGTGGCTCAATCCCAAGCTGATACAAGGAAGTTTGGGAGGTGGGGGCCATCAGGAAAGGTGCTCTGCACGAGGCGGCACCGAGCTCTCAGTCTTTGGAAGGGAGCCGGGCATTCTATCATTTGAGGGTTGGGGGACAGCCTGGGCAAAGTCGTGGAGGCAGGAAATGATGGCATGTGGAAGAGTAAGGAGGCAGTTTGCCCGCTGCAGAGTCGTGTGTAGTCTGCCTGGAAAGGGCTTTCAGAGCCCTCAGTTCTGCAGAGAAATGTGGCTTCTATCTTGGAGGCACAAAGGAGCCACCAGAAGAGTGAGAGGAGTGGCGTGGTCAGACCCACCTGGGCTGCAGCTGTGTGGAGGATAGACTGGAGATGGATGGAGAGCAAGGGTAGAGAGGCCTGGTTTCAGTGGTTTGAGCCAAGGTCTTGTTTCCAAGGTTAGACCCAAGGCCTTGTTTCCGAGGTTAGACCCAAGGCCTTGTTTCCGAGGTTAGACCCGAGGCCTTGTTTCTGAAGTTAGACCCAAAGCCTTGTTTCTGAGGTTAGAC